CTGTGGCTACAACTGTAGCTTGCCTCCACCAGTGTGTGAATGTGAGAGTGAATGAATAGTGGAATTGTACAGCGCTTTGAGGGCCCCGCAAAGCGCTGTATAAATGCAATCCATTATTATTATTATTATCATTATTATTATTATTATTATTATTATTATTATTATTATATGTAGGGATGGAGTTGTCGTGTTACCACAACCAAGATGAGTGGTTAATAGATGGAAAATAATTATTTAAAAGGGGTCTTTTCCTCCCCCTATGATTGTTTTTATAATCTTCCTTTAGTTATCATTATTACTAGGATCCAACAGTGGATTTAAGCAGAAGCATAGCAACCATTTCCTCTCACCATCTTCTGCTGTCCTTCCCTGAAGTGCTTTGCTCCACATGCTCCATGGACTTGCAGGGCCACGGTAACGGTGGCGAAGCCTGATGGTGTATTCTGTATCAGGTCTAAGGTGGCAAACCACGACAGAGTAGCCTTCCATTGTCACATTTCTGATCTGAAAATCAAGCTGTATAGCAAAAACAAAAAAGAATGAGGTTGTGAAGAAGCAATACATACAGTCTGATGTTTTGTGAAACAATTTAATATCAGTAAATATTTAAAGTGACTTCTTATGCTTTCCAACAAAGTCTTTTTTTTCTATGTTCTGCTGCTTAAAAATGTAACATTCTAAACACAGAAGTGGTGCTGAAGAGGAAGAAAACAGAATGTGTGAAGTTTTGGTTTCTGCAGGTGTGAAAATGAATGAACGTCTTATTTCTGCATGTGCATGCAGTTATAGTAGCGGCTCACCTGCTCAGTCACTGTTTCAATTTGTGAATTCAGATTTCCCTGCTGGATTTCATTGTTAGACACAGGAAAGTCCGATGATACGCGGCTCCAAGTTACATTCAGACACTGAGGAGAGCCACGAACTTCTGTTACGTTGTTCAGGGTGGCTGGAGGCAGCATCACTGAGAAATATGGGAAGAGAGACGTGAGGCATGAGCGATGAGATGGGATAAGCAAAGGGAAAGCAAAACTACCGTACCTTCTGTCCTGCCGGGCTGACATCGAGGGTGCGATGAAAAGCTCTCGCTTCCACCGTGTGCTGTGACTGTGATGCAAAAGTCAATCCTTGAAGTTGAACCATTAAGTCCTATTGTGCAGGTGGTTTTATGCGTGGTGCAGGTGTATGTCTTTTTTGCAGACCTGTTGGCACTTTGACAGAAACAAACATGCACCTACAAGGTCAACGGAGCGCTACTACATGAAAAGAGAGTGATGTTCCAAAAAAAGGCATAAAACCACAAACCCACACAGAAACATGTTGTTCAAATTCACAGTTTTGCATACATCTTGAATAGTAATATCAGCTATATATATATTTTAAAAAAACCTAGAACAAAAAAAAACACTGAGGAAGTGGAAACTGTGTCGAAGCATATCAAATCTCCCATCAAAGCCTCACACGAATGTCATTTTCAAAGGTGATTACACACAAAAGGATTTGCATAGGCACAATGAATTACCATCAAACAACAACACCAGCTCCAACTTGCAAATCTGCCTGCGTGCCAAAGCACAACGGTGGACCACTGCTGAACGGAGACTTGGGTAATCTCAATGAAATGGATCATTCTGAATCCATCACAGGCACCGATAAACACTGCAGATTGCTAAATCAATGTCAAGTTGACGAGCAGCACACGCTACATCTCACTGAGAAGAAAAACGCAATGAAAAAAAAAACCAACCCAAAACTGAGCCTGCCATGACAGATATCAAACTTACATCTAAGACAGTATCAGACAGTTTGCTTCCTGCTTAGCAGCAGCTGCAGAGAAATTTTTTAAAGGACCTAAAGCCATTTCTCAAGTTGAATTTCACAGTCATTAAAACATTAAATTAAAGCCGTTCGTCAAACTCTTTCTAATAACGACCTCTCTTTAATAATAACAGTGATAAAGGATTTGGCACTGGTGACGCAAACTCATACAGAATGATTAGTAGCACAAATCTTTAACAAATTAAACCTGCAATAACTGATCTGTCTTTTCCACTCACAGATAGCGCACACAAGTGCTGAACGCACCGACAAGCGCAATTTGCAATTATGGACAAGCTTTATCGCTTACTTGTAGATCTGTTACTGGTCTCCTGGCAAAAGTGCAACATTCACACTTGTATAAGTTTGCTTTTAGCTATACGTTTTTGTTTCTTTAACTGGCATTTTTTTCTTAGCAAACAGCTGCATGTTGTAGCCTGAAAGACAGGTAAGAGCAGTAAGCGTTCATCATAATAGTAAAATTATGAGTCAGTCTGTGAAACAATGACCTGAAACTTTCCCTTACAGTCCCGTAAAGCTGAGCAGAGCTCAGGTGTTAAGTTCCCTGGAGGTTAATGATAACATGCCCGATGTTTTCATGTTGTTATACACTGAATGTTTTGTTGCAGTGTAGAATAAAGATGCAAGATTAAAAAACTAAAATTACAAAAGGTTTTCCGTGTAGCCAAAGGCTGATTCTTGTAAGGGTTTTTCATCTTTGCCGCCATTGCCCCAAAAGACATCAACAGCGAGTTCTTTTATTGAGAAAAGCTGTTTTTTTTAGACACAGAAAATGATCAATTTCAAACATTTTTTTAAAAAAGATACATCTTCAGAAAGACTGAGTGGTACTTTGGACTTTTCATGGGGTTAGTGGACATTGTTAATCTACCAATGTTATACATCAAAAGGGAGAACTTGAGTGAATGAAAGAACAAGAAAAACAAACAAATGGGAAACAAAAGACCTAGTCAACAGGGTGATGAATATGAAAAATGATGTAAATTATAGGCTGCAGGCATCAGATCTCCGAAGAACAACACTGAAGATTTGTGTGTGATGGCCTTTCCAAAATTAAAATACTGTATTATAACATTTTTCAAACAATTGCGTTAAACCTAACAACTGATTCTGATTAGATACTCTGATTAGGGTCTATAAAATCATGATCACAAAAATAGATTTTTACGTTGTTTCTTTTTCACTTTCCTTATCTACATATTATTCAAATGTCTTTGTCTTTCTTTTTATGTAAAAGAACATTTTGTCTCACCTAGATATCTTCTCAACCTGCAGAGTGTATTTCGTTGTTGGTGTGTCTCCGGGCTCCCAGTGGCAGGTGACATTAACTCGATGTATGAACACACAGCCGATTAGCCGAGGGGGTCGGGGGAAGGCCGTGGATGTTGTAATGCAAAACACTGGAAGCATTGAGAGTGGCTGGAGTTAATGACATGGAAAAGCACATGTTGCAGTTCATTGATAAGGATGAGTGTGGTTTTTAGTTTATTGTGTGGTGTAGGCGGGTAAAAGTGGATTTTAAAAAAATAAAATAAAATAAGGACCTTTTATCTATGAGCCAGTCGTTGCATGTCAGCACTCGTGCCTTGCAGTACCTTTATTAAGCAGACTCATCCTTATTAGCAGGATTTATACTGATGCCAGTCTCTTTTGAAGTTTTGATTGATTATGTGTGCTGAAAAAGAATGAGGCTACGCACATTTTAAGCATCAGCGCAACTGTTTTATCATCTCAGAGTGTGAACACAGTGCAGAGAAAGGCTTTCATGTGACTCAGGTATGCAAAACCTCCACTGCCCAAGTCTGACTCACTGTTTTCAAATTTGGGATGGTGAAAAAGAGATGATGAGAAGAATTAATTAGCTTTGAGCCATTTATAAGTTATTTTACCTGAGGTTACAACAGTAGTTCAGGCAAGACGGAACAATATCCTTTCTTGGCTCCTACTGCCATAGCTTGTTTTGCCTGCTGGGTATACCTGTTGTAAGCCAATATAATCATACGCTGGTACAGGTGGACTGATTTCTTCAGAATGATGATAATGCTGACATTCGGGGACTTTTAGCTGTCTCAACTCACCAATCTGCTGCAAGATTAAAGCTAAAAAGAGGCAAAACTTTAAACCGATGATGCATAAATAGGGGATCTGGAGCTGAACTGCAGTTTCTGGCCTCAGGGTGTATACCGGGGATCCTTTGAATCCAGTGGGTTGCACACTGGGGCCTGCATGGATCAGGCTAGTTCCAGTGTAGATGGTCGAGTGGACCGGGCTAAAGGGGAGACTGCAGAGCAATTCAACACCTTGGGCTCTTAGTTGTGTTTCCAAGCTGTTCCTCAGTTGTTTTTCTGGAGTGGCAGGATGCATTCCACTGCTGGGGGAGGACACTGCTGATAGGCAGAGCTCGTGTGATGGGTGTGCATTAGTGCAAGTAGCACTTTCGTGAATGTCTTGCAAGCGGAACATTGCATTGCAACAGGAGGTTTACTGCTATTGAAGTCCCCTGTCACCTATGTTAATAATAATAATAATAATAATAATGTGCCACTTACGACATGCTTCTAGTCATCCGACAAATGCTTGCCGAATTACGCACTCCGTGTTTTGGTCTTCACAGGCTTAAATAACAAAATGTTGTGCTCCACTGCATTCACTCACTTGTTGATAAGCTTGTCTGCTAATTGGTGTTTTATGGGTATTATACAGTAGAATAACAAAACGGTGTGGTATAAAACCAAAAACAATAACCTGGGAGGAAAGTAGAGGGATGTGGTGTGACATGTTGTGGTTGTAACTTTCTCATGCTTGGTGAGATTCTGTCATTTAAATAACAAATTATTACCTGGTTCCACTAACGACACTTCCAGAAATACCAGCACATCCTCACATATTGTTTGAAAGTTTGCGCTGGATGATAACAAACAGCAGAAAGATAACAAAGTTAAACATTACCCAGGACGAGTCCAGCCCCCAGCAGCCAGGTCCACAACACAGCTGGACTCCGCTCCATGAAGACCAACTGCTTTTTCACCCACTCACTCCCATCATGCTACATGCAAATCAAGGACTCTTCAAGGACTCTGCACGCTGTTCCGCAAAATTGCTAAAAAGATTTGTGAAGTGTCAGCACAGGATGCCTGATAATGAATAGCTTTAGTGGTTAGATTACATCATTTCCATTGAATGCATTTCTGTAAGTTAAAAACAGTTTTCCTTCCACCTTTTTTTTTTACTGCTTTGAGTTCCTTGGCATTGCACCATAGGAAACGCACCAACCAATGTGACACATAGCAGTTTGTGCAAGTGACTTCCTAAAGTTTGTGAAAGTTTGCAAGTGGTGACTAGATCGATCACAATAAACAATTTCACATCTGACTTTTCCCCTTGACAGAAAACAAAGCTCCCCTCGGGGTGGGAGCTCTTACTTAGTGTGTAGGCGCACACCAATACAAAGCCACTCCAGATTTTTTGGTTATTTAAAGTCAGAATAGAAAACAGCATTTTAAAATAGATTATCATTATAGCCCATCTAATACATCTCTCACAATCTGATATATTGGTATCTGCATACATAGTAGCCTGAGTCAAGGGTCGTTGCAGTAAGCTGATACTGCTACCTAGTTAAACTGCAAGCAAAGTAACCAATGGCCCAGATGTTGTGCTTTAAAAACATTGTGAACTTTATACATTTATTGATGTACTAATATCAGAACTTTTATGTGCAAAAAGGTGCCAATCAGAATCGCCCATAACAAACTTCACTCTGAAATCTAAAGTTACATTTGTGCTAGATTCATAGTTTTCAGATTGAGGAGACAGTGACTGAGAGTTTTAGATGCAACTTGTTTTGGGTTCATAAAACAGTTTGATTATTTAATTTAATTATTTAAAGGAAGCTTACTTTCAGCTAAAGCACAGTGTGTGTAATATATAGAAGATTATAAACTATTCGCTGATTTACTGTGTTTAGTGCTTCTAAACACAGAAATGATATAGCATAGCTTTCAAGTATTCCACCTTTGCACGAATAGCATTATTAATAGACGTAAAATGCTTTAAATATATTGAAGAAAAAAAATCAGGAAATTCTTAAGTCACACACTGGATCTTTATTAATCAAAACAAGTTCAGTAGAAATCAAAATCATCAAATCTTTGAAGGTTGGAAGTTAGTCAGAGTTAAACATTGCTCAAGTGTTCCTTTTTATTATTATTATTATGCATATAAACGAATCACTGGACTACAGGATGACCCCAATCAATTTTTTTATTGGATCACTGTTACTCCAATTTTTATTTGATGGGCTCTCGCAACCTGTTTCTATTGTAACTCAGCAGGTTCACAACAGGACATTAACAGCTGGAGTACTTTGGCTTTCTGGTCATTCCTGATCACTTTCCACATTTATTTAATTTAATTTAAAATGCGTAATAGCGAAATGGTTACGATGCTTTTTGTTTTTGACCAGCTGATCAAAATAGATTTGGGTAAAACATCGCAACAAAGTGAACTCGAAATTTGCAAATAATGGGCGATTTTTTTTTTCGAACTGAAAAAGCCAACTTCTCAACCAACTCACTAATAACGATGCGCGAAAGCACCAATGAGAGCTCAAGGAATAAAGCAACAATCACTTTTAATCACTCATTATGAATTGTGGTAGCAGATTTTCTCGTCAACAAACCGCTAACACTTGAGCAGCTTGACAGGTTGTCTTTTTGTTTGCTTACTGAAGCGTTAATCACGTTAAACAGCAGAACAAATATGCGCTATGTGAGTTTCAACCAAAGTTGCAATTCATGAAACGAAACGAGCGGCTGCAAAATGTTAAAATCCGAACTCCTCTTACCGGATTATGCCCGAACGATACCCGTCTCGTAGAGTTCATCTACAGCATTTGCGCAAAATCTGCCGCCTGTCACCTCGAAGTAAACACACCAGTACCGCCCCACTCCGTGCCCAATGTGTGGCGTGCTGTTGCCTAACTGCGGATCGAGGTCCCCCCAAACGGTCACTTTTATATAGTCTACATTTACACGTCACAAATATCTCATAACTTTTTCTATAAAGAAAAACAAAACAAAACAGGTTTCACTTTCCCGCATTCTATGTTGTGGCCAATTTACACATAAACTACTCTAAAACCATTACGCGCATCTGCACTATAATAATAACAATCGCTTCCTTTCAGCTATTACCTTTCTTAGCCCCGAAATTGGTCTGCAGTGTGTAAAACTGATGCATGGGGCTTGTGTTAACAATAACTATAAAAGCAATTAAGACGTGAAGGATGTATTACAGGATATGTGTTGCATAATGTCACAAAGAAACTTCATCTGTGGGTAAGAATAGCCCCCCAGTTGGTCTAATCAACCTGCAATTAAGCATGTTGTTCATCATTACCAAAGATGCACAACAATAGTCTTTAAAAAAAGATATTTCACACACAAGCATGTTTTTAAGGGAAATAAGGAGAATAATTACACTTAACAGCAGCTTTATCCTGGCAAAAATTAGACGGGTAAAATCAGGAAATCTTCAGTTAATACAGTAAGTCCACAGTGGCAAATATCCAAGGGCTTAAACACTAAGATGTTGCAGTAGTCTTTTACCTATGTGCATAGCTATTCATGCAGCAGAACAAATAACAAAGCTTAGTCATTATTTCACAAGGAAAACACTTCATCACGATTACAGTCTTCGGCAAGGAAAATGGAACAATCAACAGCTCTCTGGGGTGTTTGCCATCACTGCTCTTACTCTGAGCTGCATTTGCGAGACAGAGGCAAACAGAGCTGTTGTATTCTGGGAGAGGGGCTGGCTGATCGGGCTCCCCGGCTGATCGTGTATGGGTCATATCCCTCATACAGAGCCTTCCTCTCTTTAGGACTGGACAGATCAAGAAGTCTTTGGCTGGTTATGTAGCTCTTTGCAGCTTTGGAAACGGACCAGCACACTGGGCGGTCTCCTTTGAACTCGGGGTGGTCATTCTTCGGAGCTAGGGCAACAAGGGTGATTGTGTCAACTAGCAGACAATACAATGCAAGTTTAAACACATGAAAAAAGTCTAGACAGCTTGGAAAAAAAAGCAACTCAATTCTAAAAACAAATTTGTATTCAGACGAACCCCCACGAACAAGAAGTGGAACTACTTCAGTAACCTAAAGAAGTCCAGTTGCCTTTATTTCAAGCTCTCTAGAAAACCTTTACCTGGGTGACTGAGAGCCTAGACAAGCAAAGAAAAGCAAGCAGGTGAAAATTGCAAGGTGGAAAAAAATAGGCTTACTGGCGAGTAGCTCTATGTGTGCAGATGCTTTAGAGGGCAGGTGGATTACTTGTACATGTTTAGATTCGTGCCTGGATTTCTCCAGAACCTGCCTTCGCTTTGGCTGGGCGAGCTGGCAGATCCGTGAAGTGGCAACAGCTCTCTGTGTGCTTACCTGGAATCAAATTTGTAAATAAGCCGATTAAACACAAAGAAGAATGGTGTCAGTCAGGTGTTTTTCATCCTGTCCATATGAAACATGGATTTATAGTCATGTCACACACTTTAAATTGAAATGTATCACACCTAATTAGATAAATTAAGTTAAAAGGATGTACAGGCAATCACACGTCTCAGGATTAGGGAAGTTATTAACTTTGATCATCCTAACTTTCCTTGAAGGGAAAGTCAAAGCCAACCACAAAACACCTGGACCTATTCATGCTTTCAGAATACAAAACCAGTAAAAAACACAAGACGGCTCTGTTGAAAGTTATAATATAATTATATAATATATTTTAAAGTTTTGGCGCTTTAAATACCGGACATTCTGGCCTAACTAACACAGTAGGCTGTGGAGTTTAAAAGACTTTGTGGCAGGTATGGTAAACTAGCAGTCATCTAACAATGCACCACATATTCATTTATTTTCTCTCAGGAAATAGTTTGTGTTACTCACAGGGACCGACAACGGGCAGGCGGGCTGCCAACCAGCTGCAGGCGCCCGAGGTTGAGCCAGATGACACACCCGTTTGGATGGGACGGCCTTAAGCGCCCATTCACTGACCTGCCATATGGGAGAAATTCTGAGGAAGGACATAAAGATGGAGAGAGCTATAAAAAAAAAAAAGGTCTTGCAGGTACAGTTTAGCTACTGCCTAATTTGACATGTTTGTTTGTGACATGTGTAGTGCCAAGAAAATTACTATAAATAGGTTTTCTCGTTATGTCAGGGCCAAGGCCTCTAAAGGGAAGGCTTCAGAAGCTTCAGGCTTCATGAATGTCTGCACTTTACTCTGCTGCAGATATGCACACAGAAAATTCTGAGAGGTCTGATTGCAAACACTGATGATGAATGTTTTATCACTTGAATCCAATCAAACAAGTTTCTTATCTTGGTTTACTGGATCTTGCTAATAATATTAGTACAACATAAGAGATCTTAATGGGGACAGGGTGACAAAGCTGTGGGAAAATCTAACATTAAAAACTTTTTAAAAAAAGGAACAAGAAACTAGAAAACTGACTCATATCGTACGTATAAGAGCACATAAATGTTTCTGATAAAAAAACAACAACATAAAGTTATTAAGAAACTGCCCAAAATAAGTCGCGCATTTATTAGAAGTCTATTATATTTACGTGACTTGATTGTAGAACTTTCTACTTATGCACAAGTCCGACCAGCGGGGGGTTAACTCTGTTGAAAACAAAATAACAATTATGCACGGTGTTACAAAAAGGCAGCAAAGATCAAGTTTGCCAAGAGAAGAAAAAAGGAAAAGATTGGTACACAGACCAATTTTAGTGGTTAATCCGCTTCTTTCTGGTGGAAGCTTATCCAGCCAGTAAACAGACCGACTGAAAAACAGAAAAGAGCCCATTTGTGAAAAAGAAAGCGACAAAGACAGAGAGCTTCGTTAAAGGGTGTGATTCAGACCTACCGGTCTGGATATCTTAGTCTGTTTGGTTTGGGTTGAGCCAACTGCTGTATCCGAGTCGCCATGGAAACACTTTATGCAACTGGGAGAACACTTTGTTGCTAAAATGATTCAGTTGTAACAAAAGAGTGTTTCTCAATTACAACCACATACTTTTATATCTGAGACAGCACATTTGTCAGTAGTTCTGGTCGATCATTATCATAATGGTAGTCTCAGATGAAGCTGAAATGCTTGAGTGGCTTGGGATTCATAACTTTTAGTTGCCTAAAGATGATGATACAATGTCTGAATAAAAGCATTAGGATGATTGTTACTTTGGTATAGTTCTCCAGTGTTCTTGAAGGGTATTCAAAGCTCTTTTTTAGATGTTGGCTAACTTTTGCTCCATTTTCTATCAAGATGATCCTGCAATGCTTCAATAATGTTGATATAGTTTTTAATAATGTTTTTCTATCCAGGTACGCTTTTACTTCACTGACAGAGATCACTATCATCTTGACAAATCAAGCTGTTGCCAATCACATGCTTTCCATGATAATGCATGATGGATCAAAGCCTGACAATACTTTTCTGTGTTCATAATTGAGTCGTTTTTTTTTTTTTTTTAAAGATCTCCAACAACGCTGGCTGAAATGGCCCCAAACAATGACAGAGCTCTACAGATGTTTTACTGATGCTGTAGACACTAACTGTTGCACCTCCCTGATGACCTTTACTGTACATACAGTTGATGTTGTCAGCTTAAAAATTCCAAACTCAGATTCTTTTCACCTCGTTTCACTTCCTAAAAAAATAACTTCTTGACATCTTTTCCAATAAGACCGTTTCTGATAGGTCATGAGTCAGATCCATATCGATTTTTCCCTTTTTTTTTTAAATTAAGGACATGACTTTCAGATACTGTATATCTACTGCAGATAGTCTTTTAGGCCTGGCAATTCGTTTGTCCTCCCCTTGTCAAGTTTCCTAAACATTTTTAAGAACACATTACACACGATGCTGAGACATGCCAAGTTTTTGGCCAATATGTCATTGGGAATCAACTTGTTGGTGCATAAATGTTATTTTATGCCTGTCAAACTATGTTCTCTTTGGCTTTTTTTTTTTCATAGAACCAACTAAAGAAATGGGAACAAATGATCGGCTTTTATAAAAAGTGTCTAAAGACAATATTTAAAATTGTTTTTTTGTTAAGTTGTCTGATATTTTTAACCACAACACCATCAACTATTGCTTAAAATCACTTTTGAAAAACAACCGAAAGTCTGACTGTTTGGAAGCAAAACATAATGCATGAGGAAAGACTCAAGACTTTTTCCAAGTAGTGTAACAAGCCTGATTAGTTGTCTAGGCAAAACGAGAGTTTTAATACCTTTGTATAATTTTTTGTCTGTAGCTACCATTACAAAGCCAAGTGCATTATACCCTTCCAAAACTGCTCACACTATAAATAGCAGAAACCAATTCACACAATTAGCTTTAACATATAACAGTACTTTTTCAGTTACCTTAAAGCTATACTTACCTGTCCTGCAGCTGAGGTAGCAGCTTTCTGTGCTGACACCGAAACCTGCTGGTTGCTGTGGTAACAGGTGACAGTACACCTGCCTATGTTGAATGTGCTTGGCAAAGCGAGATCGTCTCCCACTTGCTGCTCGCATAAATTTCTCATTTTGTCATTGGCAGTGAACAGCTGCAATGTGAGATAAGACCTACATTTAACTTTAACTAGCATTCGTACTTCATTCATTCTTCAACTGCAAAAATACTAAAGATTTAGTTACTATATTTTTGTTTACATAAACTACAAATGGGCATGAATATCATGATTCCTTTGAATATTTTTCCCTATATTGGAAGGACTGTATAGCATAGACTTAAAAAAAACAAGAATTAGATGCAGAAATTTGGATTCATTTCTCCAGTCCAGACAACTGACCTGGCCAAGACAAATTAATTTCTCATCAGTGATTGAGACTGACTTATCAGTCATAAAAAAAAAAAAAAATCATCGGTATAAAAAGTTTGACAGCACTCACTGGAGTGATCAATACTCATCAATGGGAAATTCCAAGGAACTCTGTGAAGAGCTAAGACTGAAAACTGTGCACAAGATGGAAGGGCCTCTTTCTAAACAACTGCACATTCCAACATGTAAAACATTGTTAAGCTTTGTAGTTATGTACAACTATCAAACAATTGCGCATAAATACAAGTTATTCAGATGTATCCCCACTTTGTACAGGACTGGAAGACCCAAACTGTCATCGTCAGATGAGAGGAAATTGGTTAATGTCCACAAGATCGACTGAAATTTGTAGCTGACCACATAAAGAAGTCGAAAACCTCCTAAAGAAAAGTTTGATGGCCAGACGAGACAAAGATTGAGCTGACTAGAATGACAAGGTGAGGCTGTCAAACCTACAAACATCAACAGCTATCAGGTATGGTGGTGGGGTTTTTTTTTTTGCCTGTCCCTTGTGGTTCTTTAGCCGTCTGAATTGATCATGGCCTTGCCATATTGTTGCCTTTGTTATTTATTTTATTTTCAGTTGTTACAGAAAATAACATGGGGGACAGGAAAGTGAGAAAGGGCACTTAAAAAACAAAAAAAACCCCAACACCAACAACTGGGGGTTCCAACAGGACTGTGACTGTAATTGCACATAAATTGATAAAGCAGACCAACACAGGACATCCGGAATTTCCTTACCAAAGCCACAACCTCAACCTTGTTGACAATTTGTGGACTGCTGAAAATAAAAAAAATAAATACATTTTAAAAAAAAAAAAAAAAGAAAGAAAGAAAAAGAATATTCAGCTTCAAGGAATCCTACCATTTTAAACTTGTTTAAATTTGACACTGTGTGGATTAGAAAAAAATCCAAAATAAATTCAAAGCTGTGCACCATATTCTTCTTCTTCTTTTTTTTAAAATCCATCATTCCATCTGGGAAAAAAAGAAGTGTGTAATTTTTTAAGCTAAACGGTGTGCTGGAGGAGTAACTTGAACTTACCTTTAATTCAATTCCAAATTTTAATTTACCTCCCCTTACCTGGAGTCATTATGAAGCTCATATTAAACATTAAATTAAAAAAAAAAAAAAGAATGCAGAGACAAACTGAAAACACCACAACCTTTATTTTTACAGGGTTTTAAAATTTTATAAAATAGCACAGTAATTAAACTACCAAAGCTTCTTTGATAATCATGTTCACAAAGCCACAAGCTTTCAGTATAATACTGTAGTTAATATTCTCTAAACTAGTATTGCAGGTATCTGTTATTGTGTGATGCAGTCAACTTTGTGTTGTTCACACATTAACAAGAGGAGCCAAGAACACTGCAGGGCAAAACGGCTACAGCATCAAGTAACATTGGCGGGCCTCTGAAACGCGCAGAGAGAAAACCCAAGGCGCAGAGATGGTCCGGCTTAAATATGTAGTGTTTGGTTCACAATTGTAACTAAAACCTAAAAAAAATATAACAACAATACTGCTTGTAGTCACAGCATGATTTCAACTGCATTTCCAACCTTTTAAACTTAGTTCTCAATCCTCACACCAGAGCTCCAATCACTTTGACCTCTTTTTGTCAGTTTAAAACATGAAATTCATGTGACAAGAAAAAACAAACAAACAAAAAACTGGATTATTGGCACAAGCTAAGGCCACCCTGACCCCACCAATAATATTCTTTAAGTCTGCTTCACATTTGACGGCAATAAAGACAAAACTCCATGCAAGATTACATAAATTCTACCGTCTCAAGACTAGATTTTGTCTTTTTCCTCTGTGAGGTGAAAGTACTCAGCTAACAATCCTATTATCAACAATTGCTGACTTTCAAGAGTCCATGACAGATAAATAGAGGGATTTCAGTGATGTACTGTTTCACAGATTCCTTAAGCACTGAGCTCTCTTGTAAGCGGCCAGTGTAGATACAGGGATTAAAGTAAAAACAGAAAAGATGGCACCAGATGGTCCAATCTCTTGCAAGCTGTGCAGGTAGAATGGCAGTGTCATAGCATGTAGGACACAGGTAGAAATAGGTAAATACTAAGAATATATATGTATATAAGAATATATTCAGTAGCACCATGAAAATCAGGATGTGTATGTCACCGTCAGAGGGTCTGCACTGGGACAGGATACAGCAAGGACATGTGCTCGGCTCCTCTGATTGGCAGCTTGTGTGTCGTGTAGTAGGTGATGACCTCGGGGATGGTCGAGAACGGAGGGCTGTTCTCTCCGAGGACGTAGCGTCCGTCTGGGGACTGGGTGAACTTCATATGCATGAAGCCTTTGCAGCTCCTGACAATAAAGAGACAGTGCAGATGAGCCTCAACTTGCCTGACAGGAATGTTAATTAGTACACTGAAAGACTGAGAATGAAAGTGTGTGTGCGTTTGTGTGTGTGCATGAGCATTACAGAATGTTTTAAGATCTTATAATTATCAAAACTGCCACCTGCAACAAATATGTCACGTTATGTTTCGTACAACAATCGGAGCGCCACACAGCTTTCTGTGATGAAAGTATTCCTGCAGTCTCAGATCAACATACCAATTGTGTTATCATTGCTTGGGGTGGGCCGCACACAATCAGCCCATTCAGTTTTGCTTAATTAAAAAGTTTCAACAGGAACAACAACAACAACAAAAAACTGTAAAGGGAACGGGAGAGTTGTCATTCAACCAGGAGTCAGCATCTGTGCCTATTATTTTGGTATGAATTGCAGACAGTTTTATTCCTTCTCACTGTGAATCACTGCTGACTGTTTATATAACCGAGCCTCAATCTCTAAATGTCAAACTTTGAAACTGGCGTCAAACATATAAATAAAAATCCTTCACTTTTCCCCCTCTAACGTAAAGAGTCACGTGACGCACTTAGATCTGATTGAGGATAGGTTATTAATTTATATAATTAATGTACCATTAATCTCACTATGCACCCTCAGAACTAACTTTAATGTCAACTTATTCATTCTGCAAAGTGAAGTTCAGGGATCCAAGATAAAAACAATGGCCAAAATCATCGCTTAGAGAAGCTTGGTTTCGTCTTCCTGTAATTTTGTTGGTGCGTTGGTGGTAAAGATAGCAATCATTAAAGACAACATCTTGAGTTCAAACAGGTCTTTCCTGCACCTCTCTTTTGTCTTGTATTTGTTATGTCGTCACCTTCTACAAATACCCTTACTTAACCCAACACGCATGTGGTATGAAAGCAAACTCGAGCATCTGAAAAATGCGTTTTTATTCTGAACGCAAAATTTGGCTTGAGCTTTTACACATCTGGCTTTCTTCCATCAAAATAATATTTTAGATCAGATTCTATCACATTACCAAAACAGGGCTTTGGCAGCAGTTTGTTCAAGTTTCCCTTCCTCCATTTTGCAGCTACATTTCACCCTTTTCCCCCCCCTTTTGCTAATTTGCTGATTTGATCAGTGGTTAAAGCACATATATGCTCAGAGAATCCACAAATATTTTGGTAAAACATTGCACTGGAGTCCAAACAAATTCCTGTGCTCTTTCAGCTCACTGCTTCAAAATAATACAGATGTGAGATTGGGAGCAATTCCCAGCATGCCTATGATCTTTTCCAAGCAGCTGTTTCCATGTTGGTTATTAAAGAGACTAAAACAAAAGACACTTGCTGAGCAAAAAAAAGCCGGAAAAAAAAGGTTGTTGTAACCAAGTGAGAACAGAGCAACTAGAAAAATGATGTGCAACAATACCCAAATGGGTGGGTGTGTGGGGGACCAGATCACATAAATTTGGGAAGGGCCTAAAGCCAAGTAGTACACAAGGGAATAATTACCCTTTAACAGACTGCGGTAATATTGAAGTAAGACAACATGAAGGGGTTTTTTCCTTCTTTTTGATGCACTCCACACCGAAGCATTCAGGGACACTCATGTTTACCTGAGGGAGAGAGAGTAGTCGTTTCGGCACGTCTGGCTATTTCTCACCAGGTAGGAGCTCTCTTTGCACAGAGTCAGCAGACTTTCTGCTTCTGCGCGGCTCAGGGCTCCATGGTACCACCTGCAGGCAAGCAGCAGGACAGCATAACACAAAGCTAAGCGATTTTATAAAGTCATAACTGCATTAATCTTTTCATAAACCAGTTGCAAACTTTTATACATAGCAAGCATTGTTTACAGCAATGGGCATAAGTGCATATCAGCCAGCTTTATATCAGCTTGAACTTAAAATATTTGTTTTCCTTTTGTTGTTGCTGATGGTAACCCATCACATTTAGGATGTGAAATGCAGAAGACAAGACAACACCAAACATGTGACAGTAATCGCCACAATTTCTTTATAATCAAATAAAGAAAGAAAATAAGCCAAGCCGAGTGCGGCTGGTTGTGTTTTGCATCTGCAAAACACAACCAGCCGCACTCCCACAAGAGGAAATGCAAAGCTCCAGCCTCCATTTCTGATTTATTCTGTGAGTCACACAGGTCAGACTTTGTTCTTAAGCCAAGTTTTGCATGTTTCAATTTAAAAAAAAAAAAAAGGAAAGAAAAAAGTGATTGTCGGGATGAATTTTTCAAGTCGTTAAGTTGTAGGCATTTCCTTTATGAAGTTTATTTCGTCTGGGATGGCTGTCAGTGCATAAAAATTCCCTTTACAACAACAGTAACTCTAAACTGTGTAGCCTAACAAATACTGGCTTTTACTTTGTGTCTCACACTCACACGTAATCTAAAGAAACTTAACAAAACAAACTAAACCCGCAAACTTCTTTCTTTCTTTTTTTTTTTTTTTTTTTTTTTTTTTAAACACCCCCCCCAATTTAAAAAAAAAAACAAACAAACAAAAAAAAACCCAAAGATTTTGAGGAACTTCACTTAAAAACAAAAGACAATTAATTACTTAGAAGCATGATGAAAGTGGAAGGGTATGTTGTGCAAGAAAGACTGCTATTTATTGGAAGTAGAATAAAAAAAGAAAAAGAAAACTAGTAGAGCCAACATCAAAGATTAAGACTGTGAATCTCAACTTACACTTGCTTCTCCAGCGGCAGAGATGGATCCACCCTCTCTCCCAAGAGCGAAGGAGTGTCACCTACAAGACGGAGTGTAGTTGCCTCTGATGCGGCGCCTGTCATGGTAAGCCTGGACTGTTCTGTGTAACCTCGTGATCGCTCTCTTTCAGTCCCTTCAAACTGAACTATGGGCACACAGAGAGAAAATGATACGTCAAAGACAAGTAGCTACAGAACTGTAATAAATGGCCTGTATTTATATAGCGCTTTACTAGTCCCTAAGAACCCCAAAGCGCTTTACACATCCAGTCATCCACCCATTCACACACACATTCACACACTGGTGATGGCAAGCTACATTGTAGCCACAGCCGCCCTGGGGCGCACTGACAGATACCAGGAAATCCCCAATTTACCTGCTAGGGCTTTAGAGATGTTGTCCTTCTTCCACTCCCACGGCTGGTCGTATTCATCAGCCGGCCTCTCGTCATCCTGAGGCAGCCTGCTCTCCTTGCTGTCTATCACCCCACCCTCAACCTTCTGAGGCGGACCAGCTCGATGGTGGTACCGAGTCCTCTCCTCATATGGGTTGTCATATAGCTGACTGCCATCTCCACTCCCAGACCGGTTGGCCATCATGTTGTGCTGTAGTTCTGCACAGGAAACATAGAAGGTGAAAACTTTTCACCTTTACCCCTCCTAAGAATTAGGTAAGTAATAATAATGATAATGGATTGCATTTATGTAGCGCTTTTCAAGGCACCCAAAGCGCTTTACAATACCACTATTTATTCACTCTCACATTCACACACTGGTGGAGGCAAGCTACAGTTGTAGCCACAGCTGCCCATGGGCAGACTGACAGAAGCAAGGCTGCCATATCGCGCAATCGGCCCCTCTGGCCAACACCAGTAGGCGGTAGGGTAAAGTGTCTTGTCCAAGGACACAACGACCAGGACAGAGAGCCCAGGGATCGAACCGGCAACCTTCCGGTTACAGATGCGCTTCCCAACCCCCTGAGCCACGGTCTTCCCAAAACACTTGTACCTCAGTAAAATGCACAATAAATGTGAATTATTTATGGTACTTATTATTTCACCATATACAAGTATCAACTTTTATGTAGAGGAGACCTGAAATGATTCGCTGGGCCTCAAATGGCTCCATGTAACTGCAGCAGTCTGCTGGTGCAGATTTGGGCTCCCAGTTTGTTCTGGCTCTTGGGTGTGGATGTGCGTCAAAAGGATCCGAGTAATCTGCGTCGGCCTCTGACGCTGCTGGGGCAGAGGGAATCACCTTAGTGGGGGGGATAGAAACAAAGAGAATTACACAAATTAAATGCAATGACATTGGACCTCAGTGTTTTGAGATTGTGATTGTCTGAAATAAACAATGCTTACAGGCTCCTCCTGAACAGTCACAGGGCTCAGAGGGACTTTACAGCGACCAAACTCCTGAGAGTCCACTTTAATCAGTCTGTGTTTTGGAGACACAAGTTTTACCTAAATGTAAGACATGGTTAGAGAACACATTAGATAATGAATCGAACATCACCCAAACAGGCGCATATCTTTTTTGGAGCATGTGCATTTAAAAGTGGTCATTGTGAGGCACAGGGCTTTTTTGGGGAGGGAACATAAGCTGCATGTGCGCATGACTGTAAAAAAAGGAGTCCAAGTCATACCTCTACACCATTAGGCAGCGCTGAACCAAATGCAGGGAAAGAGGGAAGGCTCACAGTGGCATTACAGGAGCCGAAACCACCATTCTGATGCTCCTTATCAGTGTGCTGGTACGGGTCCTCAAAATCTAGCTCCTTCTGAGCTCTGTAGGCCCTCAAAATCTCGCTCTCGCTGTAATCTGGCCTCGGGGGTTGTGGAGGATCACGCCTGCTGCCAAAGTTCAGGTAGTCCTTCAGCCACTTTGCCATGGATCTGTGGGGATGAAGTAGTAAATATCACATTATAGGGGCTCTTTAGTGATTATTAAATTGGCCATTTCAGCTGCTACATTTGGACACCATCTCTCAGAAATGCACAAATCTGCACAAATTTCTTCCACCTTTGTTTTTATATTCCCTGACAAAGTCACCCCCAAAACAGAGAGCTATTGTTACAACAATATACTCAACAGGTTAGGCAAGATTAACCCCTAATCTTGAACCCATGTGGTTAGCTTGCATAAGATTTCCTCTAGTTTAATAAACAGCAAAGCAGATCTCAGCGTCCACTGACAATCGCTAGTTAGCATTAGGTTGTAATTTAAGGGGGTTCAATCAATCACTTTCTCATAACACTGGATTAAGGGTAGCATTTCCCTCCTAAAAAAATAATCTTAAAGAGCTTAACAGCTAACGAATCCCATTGTCTTTTAGTTTAAGAAGTTATGAGTTGGAGTATTGAGCTGTGCAGTTAAATATGAGTCACTGCAGTGTTAACATGTCTAAGCTAAGTTAGCCGAGTAGCAGCTACCGTCAGTTTCTGCTAACGTTACTTCTTTAGGCTCACCCTTTTTCTTTGCATTGACGGTCACCCGTTTCAGTTATGTCTTTGTGGTTACCATCCGGGTTTTAGTGTTAATGCTGTCCAGCCTCAAACTAAAACATATGCAATCGCTAAAATTTGCTTCGGAGCCAAGCAGGTCAGACAGCTAATGCTAGCCGGACCAGAGGAGACACTGGAGCAGACAGTCTCCGACACACCACTCAGAGCCACGGCGGACTGGATTAAAGGGGAGGGGACACACATTTATTTATTTGTTTATTATTTTTGTGAGTCGACATTAAAGTCCTACGAACCCTGCCTAATCCACTGTTTAAGCTGCAGCGCTGTGAATAATCCTCATTCTTTCAAAAATAATCCCCGCCATCGTGGAATATTTTGCTTTTCATCTGTTTTCTACACTGAAGAGTGTGCGACGTATCACTGTGAACTTTAACCTGCAACATTGTTCACATATGCTAAATTTTAGATTATCTTTGAACTTGGAATTGGGCTTTAAATGATTGTACTGCATACAACTTTAATTATTTTTAAAAACAAAAATTGGGTGAAATTTTTTTAATCTATTTTTGCTTTTTCTAATCCACACTGGGTCAAGAATATACATACATCCTTAAATATATAAATACACTCACCATGTATTTTTAATAAGTGATGTTTTACAGCATCTAATAACTTGAGGAGGCCAAGGCCTATTAAGTTCTCATTGGTAATCACAATTGACTACATCTGGTAGTTTCTCTTTGCCAGCATATAAAGGATTTATTTGACAGCGCACATTGGATTGACCAATTCTCATAACAATAGAAAAGTCCAAGGAACTCAGTGAAAATAAGAAAGAAAATTACACAGAAGAGGCAAAGGTATTTCGGAACCACTTCAAAATAACTGCATGTTCCAAGATATTCACTTCAAACAGCTGTACGTAATCGCCAAGGACTGGAGGAAGACCAAAATTGTCATCCTCAGATGAGAAAAAAATTGGTTAAGATGTTAGAAACAACCCAAGAAGCACCTAGGCTCATGCCTGCCATGAACTGGAAACTGCTGAAACATAGTGTCACGGTCAACAGCGAAGACAGTTTTACATATCTGTAGACGGAGAGGGTGCTGACTAAGAAAGATGCCGCTACTCCAAAATCAACACCTTCAAGCTTGACTGAAATGTGAAGCTGACCACATGAACAAGTCAAATGGATTGTCAGCAAGAGAAAGCCTGACCTATTTGGCCACAATTACAAGAGGTATGTTTGGAGGAGCCGAGGTGAGACTTTCAAATCTAAAAACACTGTAGGGTACCAAATGTAAATGATGGTGGTTCATTCTCTGGAGCTGTTTTGCTGTCAGTTGAACTAGTTCATTTCACAAAGTGCAAAGAACTAAGCCTACCTCCACATTTTTCTACTTCACCTCAACTCAAAAGCTAGACACAGTTGGGTGTTCCAATAGGACTACGGTCCTATGGGAATGGAAAAAAGCAGGCTAAAATTAAGCTTCTGGAACAGCCTTCCCAAAGTACACCTCAGTCCTGCTGGAAATTTGTGAACTATGCTTAAAAGCGGGGTTGGTGTGAGGAAATCAACAAATTTCATTGCACTAATTCTACCAAAAACAGTGATCAAATATCTTGCCAGAAGCTTGTTGATGGCTAGCAGAAAAGTATGGCTAAGGTGCAACTTTGTTTAACAAAGATCATTAAAGATGCTGTACAATAATTCCACCCTGGAACAATTCCACAAATACTTAATTTATTCTGGGCTCTGGATAATAATACACAATAATACATAATAATAATACATAATAATACACACTACAGTGTGTATTTTGATTTTTAATAATGCTGGCTGCCTGAGGTGAAGCCAGTTTATGTATATGAAATGAAAGTTAAATCCAGTTAATCCCATCTGTGGAGGGGGGAAACTACACAAATGAATTTGGATTACTGATTTACTGACTTATCTTGGCTTTGTGGTCAAATGTTGAAAATGAGCGTCCTTTGAAGGGTGTCTGGGCTCTCCCTTTGAGGCAAGGTGGGGAGCTTGTTCATTTACAAGAGCAGAACTTCTACTGTTCCACAATGAAGGACGTCAGTTGAATTGGTTTGGGGACTAGATTAGGATGCCCCCTCCTGGACCTGGATGGCTCTTAGGTGGTGCGTTTAGGGCACAGGTGTCAAACTCCAGGCCTCGAGGGCCGGTGTCCTGCAGGTTTTAGATGTGTCCTTGATCTAACACAGCTGATTTAAATAGCTAAATGACCTCCTAAACATGTCTTGAAGTTCTCCAGAGGCCTGGTAATGAACTAATCATCTGATTCAGGTGTGTTGACCCAGGGTGAGATCTAAAACCTGCAGGACACCAGCCATCGAGACCAAGGACAAGCTGAGAAATAACCCAAATATGCACATATGCTTCTCTGCTGGCTTGGAAACACCAGCATTATAATATGTTTTTAAGACACCAAGTTAAAAAAATGCTACATACAAACAGTACAGACATTTTAATAAACATTAAAATATACAGGTGGTATAGTCACAGGACAAACAGACCCATTTTTCTGTGGATCTGACTGGATTTAAACAACTGGGGGGGGGGGAATCCTTAAGCTGATTTATATGAGATTTCAATATCTGTACAGCATTACAAACAGGGCTTAAGCACTGTATTCCTTTCTGCACCATACATACAATTGTATGTCAGTCACTAGAGTCATCTTGTTCTCATTCGCTGTCATTGCTGTCACTGTCTGAATACGCCCCCAACAGGCTGAGGGATGATGACCCATTTTGTGTGGTGACGGGTTTAGAAGCATCTGTCGTCGCTGGCTTTGAATCTGAAAAACAAGACAAACAAAGACTGTGTCTTACAATGAAGAAAAAGCTAACTTTTGATTAAAGATGTGAACAAGTAACAACACGAAGGACATAGTTTGGTGAGAGAAAAACAAAAGTCAAGTACAAATTGCCAGAGACTTCAAATAAAAGAGGCCAATGTGTGCAGGATACCGATGTGTTACCTGTCTGTGAGATAGGAGCAGCAGTTTCCGTTACTGAACAGGGTTTGCTCACAGTCATTGCTGGTTTCTTTCGGACAACCAGTGAACCTAATGCTCCTTTACCACCCAGCGTCCCGACACTCCTCTCCCAGCTCTCCACCTTGGCCTTCTTTGCTCCTCCAGCTGAAGCTCCCTGCAGAAAGGATCAGGAAAATACAGCCCAAAGCTTTTCGGTCAGCAACACATAGAAAATTCTCATTATGTACATTGTGAAATTCTGTATTTAAAGACAATGAGCATTGTGAAAGTCACTGGCCTTAACTGCCACAACCTTACATATAAACCCACTTCCAAAGAAGCTGAGAAAGTGTGTAAAATGAAAACAGAACATCATATTTAACATTTAAACTGAAAACCACTGTGTAGTATCACGTCGTCTTTAACAATAGTTTGTTAGCAACCAGCTGATGGACTTTTAGGAGAGGAATTCTCTCTCGTTCTCGTCTGATAAGAGATTCTAGCTGCTCAGTCTTTGCCATATTTTTCATTTCATGATTGTGCAGATGTTTTCCACTGATGAATGCAGGCAGCCCAGCTCAGCACCTGGACTTTTCTACTACAATGCCATGTTGTTGTAATAGATGCAGCATTGTCTTGCTGAAATATGCAAAGCTCTCCCAGAAAGACACAGTCTGGATGGAAGAATATGTTGCTCACTCTAAAACCTTTTCAGCATTGTTGCTTTTCACTTTGCCTCAGTCAATTTTAAGCTAGGTTTGGGCCACATTTCTGGATCCCGTTCACACGTGTCATGAGAGGTCTGTGTTAGGTGACTGGGTTTGAAAACCCAGCTCAATATATTGATGTGCAGACTCTAAACTATAAAATCAAAATCATAGTTCTTTATTCAAACTTTGAAACATTGAAGGTAATACAGGAAAATGAAGAGGAACTCACTGAAACCTTGAGGATTATGACTAAATAATCTTGACAGATATTTAGATATGTCACATGTGGATGGCTATACAGACCTCTGCCTCTGTTGGTTTGTCAGCAGTGAGGATGTCTGTTGGTTTGTCTGAGCTGGACTTGTTTGACTGTTTGCTGCTGCTCTCTTCTTCTGTTTCTGAATCAGAGTCAGATTCTCTGAGTCTTTTCACGAGAGCACGATCCAACATCTCCCTGTTGAACAAAGCACAGTGTAATTTTAAATTTCCACATATACATCTAACTATGTATTAGATATTATAGCAAAAAACATTTTCAATTAAATATGAAACATGCTTGAGATTGATACATGCACAACTCACTTCATTTCACGCTCATCCTCCTCTTTCTCCCGTTCCCGCTCCCTCTTCTCCATCTCTCTGTACTGGTCGATCATTCCCTCAAAGTCCACCAGAGCCTGTCTCTGATTCAGCTCCTTCAACTCCTGCAGGTTCTCCAAAACCTCCATTTCTAACTTTGAATCCTTTGTGCGGTTCTCCAGCACCTGGTCGAGGATTGGGAAACCATTCATTCTGTGTTTCATGTGCCAATTTAAGTAAGAACAGAGGATGACTTTTAAAACACTAACCTTCATGGGGTTGTTCAGTTCCTCTTCTTCCCTCTCCTGCTGGATTCTCTTCTCCTCCTCCTCAATGAGTTTCTCTGCCTGGAAGTTTCGCGTTGCGCCGTGCTCCATGGCGTAGTCTGTGTTCTCTGGGTCAGTCTATGATGTCATCATAAGATATAGCATTGTCAACGGGTATTTTACTCCCAATATAAGTGATATCTCTTGCAACTTATCATTCACACTTACCTTAAATGTAATTTCAGCAAGACAGCGGGTACATTTGATGTAGAAACGAAAGATAGGCAGTCCCATGTATGTCTCATTCTGAACGGTCTCTTTGCGTGCATTGAACTTCTTCCCCTTGTAAATGTACTCACCGCATGTTTTACACCTGCAAAGTAGAAGAAATGATGACACTGTAGTGACAGGAGTAATTTAGAGAAGCCAAAAAAAGGTCCTATAAGTGAGCAGCAACCCTGTTTTACTGCAAATAAGCCCTATATCCAATGAATAGACTCTTACATTCATATAAAACAAAAAAACCAAGACTCCTGCTTTGACAGTCAGAAATAACCGTAACACTGTACTCTTAAGTCACTAAAAAGCAGAAATATATATTAAGGCCATGACTAAACTGGACCTGGAAGTCTCTATTTGGAAAGAAAGCTCTAAAACAGCTCTACCTTCTCCAACAACTTGAAAAATACAATGTTTGTGTCATAGTCATTCCAAGAGCATGATATATGCTCATTTTTTCTGAAACTGGAAAAAATGTTAAAAGATTATTATTATGTGCTGGATGAAGGTCATTTACCAGAGTTATTAAGAACAGTAGATGTTACTTTTTTTTTAAACACATCCCACTGTTTAAAATCCTATTTGTTAAATCTCTGAAACTGATGTGAACCGAAGTATGCAAACAGTCACGAGGTCCCGGGTTACTAATGTTATAAAGGCTAACAGTGGCTGTGTCTGAGTGGGTGAATGTGTTCTAAAGATTGCTTTGCATGTTCAGTAAGAGTAAAAAGCACTATACATACAGTTTTGTTTAGAAGTTTACATCACTAGTCATGAGCATGAAAGTTATGGTAATTGTAGGCTTTCAATGATTGCACAGCATACATTTTTAATGACTTTAGAAAATAATAATAAAAAAATGGATTTTTATTTTGTTCGCCTTCTCGCATGTTGTTTCGTTGTGTATTTATAACAGGATCCTTTACAACATCAGCTGCATTTCATTGTAAGAAAGTTAAACTTCAGTAGTGTAACCAGGAAACAACTCCTTAGATATACGTGGGTAAGACAAGCATACCTCATATTAAATGGAGCCATCAATCTGACCACATACTGACGATCTTTGGGGAGCTTTAGCTTCGGGATTTTGGACGGATCAAAATCCGGAGGGTAGTATTTCTGTGGATAGCAAAACACATAGGTTAGCTTACAAACTTGTAGCCATTAGACTAATAATGTCTAATTTTATTACAATATAGTCTTGATACACACTATTGTAGTAACAGTAGTTGAAAAAGCAACGCTACCTACCAGCTTTTAGTTAAATTAAACAGAAACTATAAAAAACGCCACACTTAGCTTCAATGCTAACGTCAACCTGCTCTGGTCCTATAGTATTTTTAATAACAGCAGTGAAGTACCAGTTTTAGAGTTCATATACTTACATTCAATACTTTTCTTTCGGACATTTTTGCTGTTGCTGTTACCCAGACGTACAGAAAAAAAAACGCTGGAAAGTCGCAACACCTCTTGTAAACTGCAAGATAAGCTTCCGGTTGCTTGCTCAATTGCTTCCCTCCTCCAAATTGCGCTCGCCCCCGCGCGGTATAAGTGAGGAACAACAGCAACGACAAAATATTTTAACAATGAATATTGAATACATTTATTATAAAAAAAAAATCATTGTCAAGGGAAATACATGTATAACGACTTGAATTACTTGAATTTTTACAGTTCTCTCCTTCAAAAAACACCCAAATCCCTTTATCCTTTGCTGCCATTCTACCTGAATGACTCATATAAGCTTTATATATTGAATAGGGCCCTCAGGTGCTGTCTGCTGTGTCTTTATTTCCAACAAAGTGAAAGGGATCATGACCGGCATGATAAATGAGGTAAAACGATTTGTCAGTGATATGGGGGTCAGTAATATGGTTTGGTGTGTAAACAGAAGCCTGACAGCCTCACATATTCATTCCCATTACTCTTGGGAGGGTAAGGGGAGGGTTAAGGTTATTCCTACAAAAGGAAATTGTATCTTGATTACAGATTGGTCTCTGTGTTGGTCAGCCTGTCTGATTTAAACTTTGCAGAACAGCAGTGACATCAGAAGGGCAGATTGTTAAATAAGAATAAGATATGAATAAAGTTTGACTTTAAGATTAAGGATTTTTGTTTCTGCTATTATTACTATTTTTAAAGACAAAGAATTGAATTAAAATGAGACAACACAATTTATTGACTGAAAAGGTATAGATGGAAGCATAAGATTTTTAGAACTACCCTTTTAGGGTCTACTTTCTGAATGAGAGCACATTTATTAGACTTCACCAATAGCAAACATGAAAGAAAAATAATAAATTACACAAAAACAAATATTTTGTTTGCACATACTGACCCTTATCATCAAGATAACTGTGGCCACGAGTGTGCTATCCCATTAATATTGTAAATTCCTAACTTTTTCATTGGTAATCTGTAATTTATAGTGTCAAATGCAAGTTATAAAATATCCCCAGTGGATTCCTTGTTGTGCATTTTACGCAGTAAATTGTATTTTTCAGTGAAATTATCAGGGCTTTGCAAAACACCACTTTCAAAAATTGGAAACAATTCTGTTGTTGTCTTTTTTGTTGTTTTATTATTTCGATAACTGTGCAATCAAAATGCAGATTAGCTGTTTTACTTGATTTCTCACTCTGATTCTGACACATCAATGTGACGCATCAGTGAGTCAGATATCTGATTAACCAAAAAGGCCACAGAAACAGGTGAAAAAATGTGATTTGTTGGGAATTCAATTGGATCAGTTAACTGAAATTGATTGGAAGACTGGAATAAAAAGTTTTAGATAAAGGAGTTTGATTACTCTTTGGTTTCATCATCACTTTCACAAATTTTAATGTCTCACATCGACGTTTGGTTTTCATCTTCTCTTATCGCTTCCTGTTAAAGATGCAAAGGTGCCGAGAAGTGTCATCCATGTCAAAGTTTCCATGAATATTTCAAAGACTGGCTGATGTCAGCAGCACTTGCAAAGAGCCTATAAAGACAGTTTCTGTGGACAAAAGACATCCATCCTCCACACTCCAAAGAAGCGTTTGTCTACTGGAAAAGAGCTCCACCCGCTGAAGAGAAGGACTCCTCCTTTATGTGTCTGAACACAATGGTCAGTGCGCGGACTCTCCTCCTCGCGGTCACCTGCTGCTACACCTACCTGTACCTCGTTCGCGCAGAGGACTCCTCATTGGAGACGCGCTCACTGGATTTCACCCTGAAAACTCAACAAGAGAAAGACTTGGTGAGAGCTTTTGTTGGAGATGTGGGTTAAGTCGATTTAATTTGTATAAAGAAGGATGTTGATTTTTGTTCTGTATTTAGGGTATTTAAATGATTTGAACAACAATTTTCTTAAAAACAAAGTCCATAGTAAACGTTTTTTGATAATATGACTCTTTATCCCCCCTGTGCAGATTGACGCATTGCAAGAAGTTCTGGAGAAGCTGAGGAGCAAAGAGATGCCCTTGGAGAAAAAGCATGGATGGTTACCTTCGGTAAGCAGACAAATGAGAAATAAAACAGCACGAAACCTGTTAGATTTCAGGACAACGAATTAATTCGCAGAAGAGAGTATTTCATTTTCTTATTTAAGATTCTCTGAATTTACAACAGTCAGAAAAAATGAGGATTTTTAGACGTTTGTTTTTATCTAATCGAGATTTTTAAATTTTATAAATCGCAAAAAATGTACAATGTTTTGTCTACAGTGTACTAATTTTATGTTACCCTTTCAGTGTGATGCAGGGGAGCCGTGCGCCGTGCGTAAAGGCGCGCGTATTGGCACGCTGTGTAGCTGTCCACGGGGGACTACTTGTAACTTCTATGTTCTGAAATGTTTGTGATAAGGAAAAAAAAAGATAACAGAAGTGCAAGAAATAACGAAACAGTTCAGGGCTGATAAAAAAGATGAATGTGAGAAATGACAGGAAGGTCTGCTTCTACTGTTCAATACATTTGTGATAGAAAATAAAATGCTGTAGAATGTGACTTTTTTTTTTTGCCTTTATAAACATTGACTGTTATGAATAAGGGTTTTTGTGAGTCTGTCGTTTTAATTTTTATTTCTCTCGTCCGTGTTAATTATTGTGTCACATCATTGTGTTAATCATTGCGGCATCTTGTGGAAGACTTTTTTTGGTCATAATATTTTAATATATTTATTTCTTTTCCCCTGATTGTTGGAAATACCGCACAGTTAGTTTATAAATAGATTTGTAAGATGAAAATACCAATAAATGAACTTGAATTCAAGGGTCTGTAGAGTGTTACTGCTGCACCTTTGCGGTAATAATATTGCATGGGATATTATAAAATATACATGGAAGTAATTTACAATGGGATCGGCGATTAATAAAAATATATATCGATCCCTTTGCCACGTGTGATCAATAATTCAGCCTCTTCCTGCCCATTCACTGATGCGCGGCTGAATTCCAGCACAGCAGCTGTCATCCCTGTAATAAAAGGCGCTGTCAGGCTTTTTCAATGACATCACATAGAAGCGCAATTTTCCAACATGGCGTCCAGCCGGGTGCTGGAGAGGGAGGTCCAGGAGGAGCCGAAGCGCGCTGCTACCGCAAACCTCGACTTTTGCCTCCATAAATACTCCCTGCTCATCATAATCGGACGGACCGCTCGCCTCAGGCAGACGGAACACATCAGCAGGGAGATAGAGCGAGGTAGGTTTATTTCAGCCCGCGTCCCATAGCTGCTGTGTGCCATTTTGCTTTTTCCTATACAATTGTATTACATCAAAAATCAGCTTCCTGCAAGTTCTTCTTGCCTAAATCATCACTGGCGGTGATATACTGAGCACACTGCAGTTTTTTTATGCAATTTTTCCCCCACCGTACTGACCGAGGATGCGTCATCTGGCGACACTCCACCATCAGCATCACCCCCTCATCCCTCCGGACACATTATAATTAAAAGCTGTCTGGAGTGGTTGCTTTGCCTTTCGCCTCAGTTTTAGTTTTTAGTTCTGTAAGGACAAGCTTTGAGGGAAATGTTGCGCCGGGATTTTCAGTCCACACACAGCCACTTGTAAGCGATGTCCCATTAACCTTTGTGCATTTATGCACAGCTGTAATTGTGGATGCTGCAGAACAGACAGTGCGTACTCATAACGATCCATTACAGTCTATGCTTTGTTGCTTTGCTGTTTTGCTGCTGTAGACATTTTATGGAAGCCAGCATGTGTAGCAGACAGTTCATGTAAAACAGGATAGATAGGGAAATTGAAAAGAAACCACGAGGACAGACACAGATAGAAAAACGGACTCATATTCCTGCACTGTAGCTAACTGGGCCAATTAACATTTCATTACACTCTGGTGAAAGTTATGTACTTCAAAAATGTCATCAACTTTTCATGAACTGAACAAACAGCCCAGTTTTTTGAATGTACATCTGTAGCTAAAGATTATTTCTTCATCGGTTAATCATAAAAAATAATAATTTAACAACTGTTTGTCCTACAGATTGGGAAAATCATCTGCTATAGTGTCCTCCAGTTTTTCAGTCTTCATCATGTGTCTTTAGCAGTCTAAAAGCCAACCACATTCAGCTTACTGTCACGTGTTTCAAAGAAAAACCTCAAATTCTCCTCCCTTGTCAGCTAAAAACAGCAAATACATTTAAATGTACAATATAAGATGGCACATTCTGTTTTTAATGTGTATAATTAGCTGAAAGGAAATGCTACAGACTCTTTATCGTGTTTATATGACAGATTGCAAGATACAATGATACTCGTTGTACTATGTTAAAAAGAGAGAGCAGATTTGGTTGAATGCATTAGATATTGAAATAAAATACACTATGGGATAGCTACGATTATAACAGCCAGTTTTAATATTTTGCGAATACTTGGACATGTGTAGGCTTTTATCACATTGCACCATGTGACAGTATAGCCTCTAACTTACTTGCTGTCAGGTATTCGGTCATGGGATGTGGACTTAAAATCCTGTAACCTGAACCTCTACCTCCAAGAATTCCTCTCCCATCACACGGCATCTTTCAAGGGTGCAGGTAAGATTTAAGTCATCTTTCTTGCCAAACTCTTTGGCCCTACTGGGGAAACTCCCATTGCCATGGCAATATTTCAGCTCAGCCAATCTGGGGTCACTAAGGAAGGAAGGAAGGAAAGTGGACAAGCAGTCAGACAGGGCGATTGTTGAGCACGGGCGGGCCCACAACACAGAAAACAATAGAAACCTGCAGCCAAGTTTTGCCACCTCTCGTTCTCTCTGTATGGTTGGCAATTAAGGACAGCTGAGCACAGGAAAAAAGACAGACAAAAAGAATTAAACAGTTGTGTCACAGCTGATCCGTGTAAAGTGAAGTGATGAAAATGGTCAAGAGCAGACATTTGTCTATCCAGAGAGGTTGCCTGCACTGTAGTATAGCTTCCATAATAAGATCTACTACAGAAATGAATAGTGTGAGGCATGCATTTATTTAATTTCTTGTCCAAAAGTTAGGCAACAATCAATAGCACTCACTTGCATTCAGTGGCAAAACTATGTATCTTGCTATAATACTAATAATACTAACAATCCTGCCTCCTGAGCCCTCACATTTACCAGAGTGGTGAATCAGCATGTTGAGGTTTTACATTAACCACCAGTGGAGACTCCAGGAAGTCACTGCTCCCAGCCTTCACATGCTATGGCACATATGTGACGCTATTTTCTAATTTTTACACGTGTTACAGAAATATTAGTGATTTTCCCATTTCCAGTCTTTATGCTAAGCTAAGTTAGCCAGATGGTGTTTGTAGTTTCATTTTTTAGTGTATAGAAACAGAGATATATGTCTAATTATTGTCAAGGAAAGGAAAAGACATATTCTCCCAGAATTTTAAATGTTTGGTTGAATTATGCAAAATGTCATGTAGGGAAAATAGCTCTTTCTGTTTCCCTTTGTGTAAAAAGACTGAGAAACATTTGTTCATATTTGGGTCATGAAATTCCAGTCGGCTAAGTACGCCTCTGTATTCTTAGCTGTTCACCCAGTCCAGCCTCTCAGACTGGATGTCCTTCTCAGATTGAGGAAACTTGGCATCTCTTCCTCAGACAATCCTTCTGACTCAGCTGTTCCACTTTTCTTGCTTCCTCTTTTTCACCCAGTTAGTCAATCACCCGTCCGATTAGCCCAGTTCACTTTCTCCTCTTTGAGCTCTTCTCCTATTTGCTTTCAGTCTGTCACTCAATGCTCGGACCTGTCGGCTTATCTCCCTCTTGTTTGCATCCCTGTGGCTGTCTGTTTGTCCTTCTCTTTATATCTCTTCTTATTTTTCTCTCTGCCTCTTCAGGGCATAAGTGTCTACGTCACTGTACCAGAGTGTTGGACACTCAGGTGGTGATCAGTCCATCTCAGGAACAGGTTCATTCAGAGGTGAGGGGATAAATCCTTGGGTGGCAGCTGACAAAATGATGCTGTGTTAAAATGGTTCAGTTATTCAGAAATAAGTTGAATATAATAATTTCCCAAATGTATGAATTGTTGTTTTATTGCCATCACTATGTTAAAGCAGGTGCAACAGGAGTTTATACATGTACATTATTTTCATTAGGCTGTAGATGCCTTGAATAACTATGCAAAATTACAACATTATTATCTCAAATACTTCCACACTATAACTGGGCTACTGTATGTAGTATAATATGTATAATATGCAACATCTCAAAGCAAGGTGCAACATACAAAAACACGCACCCTCTTCCCCCAAACTATAAACACTATTCCCCTGTTTTCACGTGGGATCCAGATTTGTTGAGCTTTCTGTGAAAAACTCTAACCTCGTATGTCACCTCGTGTTCATATCAAAAGCATGGCATGCTCTAAAACACAAAAAACTCAAATCATCACTGCCAGAACGCAATTAGCACACAATTTGTAAATTAGCACAATTAGCACAGACAGTCCAACACGTTCGCACACCAGTCAGATAGATAAAAGGGCCATGTGGCAGTTCACTGGTTTTGGAACATTTCCCCGGCTGTCTGGCCGTGGCTGTTATTGGCTATTTCTGGCCTAACACAGACCAGAGAGGGGATGTTGGGGCTCAATCAATTACATTTTCTTCCATGCACAAAAGTTTGCCTCTCCATCATATTGAGAAATACCTAGCTATTATGATAATATACTGCATTTTTGAAAATCTGTTGAATATTTTTTTGCGGCGCATTTACTTTTTTCTCTAAATTTCAAACTGACCGAAGTCATAACTGCACACTGATGAAGACCAGTGTGCAGTTATGCATGTGTCTTCAGAGGAACCTAACCTAACCTAATATAACAGCTCTGTCATATCAGGGCACAGACATGTTACCTTTGTTATGTTTTTGCACAATTGTGACCTAAACGCAAGACTCCAAAAATAAAAATAACCATGTAGTAGATTGTGCATAAAGTTAAAAAAAGTACAAAGAATTCACAGTGGCAACAAATTCAAATCCAAGATTTCAATTCACAACATTGCGCTGCAATTAGATGATCAGTGATAAACACTATCAGCGTTTTAAATGTGGTGGCTGATTGGTCTATACTCAATATACACATTTTTTTGCATGGTAAAAATGAGGCCTGTAGCTACTCATTTACTTTGTTATGGAGTAATCCTGAAATGTAATCACAAAACAGCTAAACAAGGGTGTGAAATCTGTGACATTTGTGACATTTGATGTACAGAGCTGTGCAAATGCCTTGAGAGACCCTTCATTTCTTTATAATTTGCTTCCAAGAAACCAAACTGACTTATAGTTTAAAAGAAGTGGTCTTGAGCAATAGTTCTCCAGAATTTCTGAAGCTCTTATACAGTTTGTCTTTTTGACATTGACATTGCCTTTTCACTCATTTTTGGTCCAGTCCTTGTGCTTGTGCAGTCCCTGAGCATTTCAGAAGATCTTTTTAAGCTATTTAATGCTGATTTATGAATCATTCAAGCATAAAACAAAACCTAATTCAAGACATGAACCGGTTTGGTGTAAATACATAACAGACAACATAGAAAAGAACCAATTTTAAATTGTATCTTCAGGCACTAGCAGTCTGTTATAAAACACAACATTTGTTCCAATTTCTTTAGTCAAACCTACAAATAATGCCAAAGTTAAGACAATTTGATATTCATAAAATACTGGGTTTTTTTTTTTTTTTGCACTAACCAGGTGATTTGAATTTCTTTCAAGATGCTTGCAGAACATTTCTTAAAGAAATTACAAGAAAGCCTGCCTAAGAGTATTTCATGCATTTTCACAGTACTGTTTACTATTCTTTGATTTTTCTCCATCTATATTTTTACATTTATCTTCACTGCTTTTCTATTGACTTTCGATTAGGCCTGATTTTTTCCATCTCTGTTCCCTGGTCAGGTGTTTGCGTTCCTGTCCAGAGAATCGGCTCATAAGTTGCTGATCTTGGCTGGCCTGAGTGAGGAGGAAAGCGGAGACGTGCTTTTTAACAGAGGACTGTTTTCACCATACCAACTGAAACAAATCTTAACAGAACAGGTATGCACCTAACCACAAAATTGCAATTATAATTCTGAATGCACAAACTTGCCACACCTTGAAGCCCAAATGGCCGGAACACTGCATACAGACAATATTAGAATATGTTGAGGGTACATGCTTAAGAACAAGCATCGTGTTTTCAAGCACACTCTTTGAAATTACAACAGAGGTTTTAAAATTATACATGTAACAATAGTACAGTTTTAAAGTAAACCTTTATTACCACCTACAAATCCAGGCTTAATTCAGAGCAGTGACTAATGATTATCTTCTCATATTACTAATCATTCTTTCAGTTTCAGGGTCAGAAAATTGTTAAGAGTTTCTAGACTGTGGTCTTGAAAAATGGTATTTTAATAAATAGTGCAAAACTCTTAAAATTTGCAGTGAAGGGTAAACATCAAGTTCTCACAATAGTGAAGTTTGACCTAATATCCAAATGATGCTTTAAAAACAGGGCTGTAATGTATTATTGAGGATGATCCTGATATTGAGAGTTTATAAAGATCCCAAACAATATTTAGTATCCTCTCATTTTTTTTTTTTATAAAAATCATAATTACATAATATGATCAGCATTTAAAATGAACATCCCATAAATTTGCCTGTTTAATAAATGTGAGGAGCTATCCACTGACATGACTAAGATATAGCTTTGAGTGACTTTACTGTAAATTGTGAAGGATAAAATTAAAAATTGTATATATAATGCTGGGAACTTGTCTCTCTTCAGTTTTTTGACCGGGAGAGCTCTGCCTCCTCACTTCCACCCAGCAGGATCCATCTGACCCTCAGCTGTCCCAACATTGGCCAGTGGAGAAAGACTCTTGTGGAAAACCAGCCCCTGCAAGGTCCTTTCACTCTCTGCATCAATCCCCCAGAGGTGCTGCCTGCAATGGAGGCTCTGGGGAAATTCACGTCACTCATCTCTTGCACCATTTGTCCTTCTTCCCCCTTTGACCTGCTGCCGCCTCCTACCACTGTGGGTTTCCTCAAGCTGTCCCGCCCCTGCTGTTACGTATTCCCTGCTGGCCGTGGTGATTGTGCCTTCTTTGCCGTTAATGGGTTTACGGTGCTGGTGGACGGAGGCTCGGACTCTCAGGCCTGCTTCTGGAAGCTGGTCCGCCACCTCGACAGAGTTGATGCTGTTTTGTTGACGCATGTCGGGACAGAGAACCTCCCTGGTGTCGTCTCCTTCCTGGAGAGGAAGGTGGCTGAGCAGGAGCTGAGAACTGACGTCATAGGTAGCATAACAGGGGATAATGAGAAAATTATGCTCTCTTTATTTGTTTCATTTTCTGAAATAACACATTGTGGCTCTCTTTCTTTCTTTATACTGCTCCACAGAGGACTCATGTAAGAGGCTCATCTCTCCAGAGCTTGGGGTTGTGTTCTTTAATGCCCCCAGCAGGTTGCAGGTGGAACAACAGCCCTGTGAGTGCTGCAACAAAACAACAATAGAGTAAAAAGTGAAAAAATAACCAAACTGTTAATATCAGCTATCAATCATTTTTATGATAAATGCATTTATATTAATATCATTTGTTCATTTATTTACTTTCTGTTTTGTTTTGCACTAAGCAATCAGTGTAATGTTCAAGCACCAACAACATCTACTTGTGCATGTTATCTCATGACAATTTTAACTGCTAAAAACAATGATATGACTGATTTGTTATATAAGTTATCATTATTCTCCTGTCAGGTGTGGACAATGTACTGAAGAGCACCCAGCAGACTGCTCGTACCCTACAGCTGTTAAAGAAGTTAGACATCAGACCGCAACCAATGTTTCGACCGCAAGGAGTCCCCTTTGAGCCCTTAACCCTTTTCCAAAAGATGGGAGTGGGACAGCTGGATTTATACATACTAAACCCAGGCAAAAACAACCAGGAATACCAGACATTCATGCAAAATTGGCCTGATGGAGTATCATCAGCATCTAAATCCCAAACTCTCCCTCTCACCGCCCTCACCTCTGTGTGTGCTCTGCTTGTGTGGTATCCAGCGTGTCCTCAAGAGAAGGTGGTCAGGGTGCTTTTCCCTGGCATTACCCCACAGGCAAAGCTGCTGCAGGGGCTGGAAAAGCTAAAGGGGCTGGCCTTTCTCCAGAAACCCACAGTGACAATGGGAGACTTAGAGAAACTAGGAGAAGAGAAAAAGACCAAGAGGACAGAGAGCCAGGACAGTGTCAAGTCACAAGGAAAGGAGGGAACACACAAACAAAGAAAAGAGCGTGGAGATGGTAAGGATGTGTCTTTAAAGGAAAAAGGAAAAGCATTAAATGGAACTGCCATGATGGATACTGATAAAACCAAAATAAAAGAGACAGGCATAAAGGATAAAGCAGCAGAGAAGAATACTTCCAAAAAAGGAGGAGGAAAGAATGGGAAAAAAGAGGAGAAGGTTGACAACAAAGAAGGGAGCATAGCTAGAAAGAACAGTCAGAGCAAGAAGGATGGTGTTCCCTCCAAATTAAAGAACGAAAATAAAATGAAGCTCAAAAAGGAAGCAAAGAATGACTCTAAAATAGGAGAGAAAAAAGCAAAAAAGCTACCAGGAAAGGAAGCAAATGATAGCAAGAAGCTGCATGTCAACAGTGCACTGCCAAATAATGACTCAGCCAAATCTGACACTGGAGCTGTGCCAGAAATCCTTGATCCAGAGTGCACTGTTACTGAGCAGGAAAATAAAAAAATGGACCCCGAGGAAAATCCCTGTGGCTCCAAAATGTCTACCCCAGAAGATATGACAGCTGATTTTCTTAAGCTGAGGGAGGAAATCGAACGAGAAGAGGCACAGGTGGAAACGGTAGATAAGCAGAAAAGCAGTGATCCAGAAAATGAAAAGAGCCTAGGAGGCCTGAGCCAAGAAGACACTTGTAATGAAACAGCTGACAGATCAGTAGAAGAAGAAGCAGGTAGTGGAGGGAGTGGTGATAATGGAGTGCAACATATGCCTGGAACTGGTGAGAGAGCTGATACAGACTTGCAGAAAAGCCTTGTAGACCAGCCCGGAAATGCTACAAAACCTGCAAAGGTTGTAGGATTTCCATCTCCTTTGAACAAGGCATCAAAGAATGAGCGTACAGTCCAGTTAGACTTAACTCCAACTGAGTACACGCTTCTTGATGGGGCTTTGAAATATAGTCCACCCTCGCGATCCTCTCCAGAGAACCAGGCTCCTGTCAGCCCCGATGAGGAGACCGTAGAACCAGCGTCTCCCGACTCACGGCCCAACAGCGCAGGCCACACTCCTTACTGTTTGTCCCCAGACGATGTTTGGTGCAACAGGTCTGCTCTTAGCCGGCTACAAGCCCAGGGTAGCCTAGATTCTGCTGATGTTAACCAGCCAAATGGGTCATCCAGGCAAAGTGAGGGGCAGCTATGCCATCCTAAAAGCACTCCAGAGAACCCCACACATCCCAGAGAGAAGCATTTAAGTTTTCTTCCTTTGGGGACACTTAAGGAAGTTTCTTCAGACCCGTCTCCCTCTGTTGCCACCACCACTACACACTCCATGCCAGCAGAGGTGAGCTCACCTCAGTCCACAGAGGTAGATGAATCATTGTCCATGTCCTTTGAGCAGGGACCAACCACTGGGAGCCAGAAAGAGGGCGATGACAGCGTTTATCACTCTCACTCCAATGGCAGCCACTATTCAGGAATGTCTTTACAAATGAAGAAGCCTCTCAAATCTTTAGGTCAGAGTTCAGAGGCAGCACGACCTTTGGCTCCCAGCACACTTCATTTCGAGGCTTCAGGTCATGATGTAGACCTGTGTTTGGTTTCTCCCTGTGAGTTTAAACATTTTAAACAGCCCGACTCCGGCTCAGGCACCAGCGAGGCCTCCAGAGGAGCCTTTACTCCGCATCATCACGGCAACAACAATAACAACACCAAGGACACGTCACCCAGTGACTCAAACGCCCCTGTCTGCACTGAGGACTGCCCGTCCACCACTGCTGATGGAGCTCTGGACTCGGATGAGGATGAGTCATGTAGCGAGCCTTCTAATTCTCCACAAAACATCCTAACCCATCAGGCTCTGCCGCCAGACCCTCTTCCAGCACCTCTCAGGGACAGTCCACCTCTGCCTCCACATCCTGACGCCTCCATGCCAGTTCCCCAGTTTGACTCAGACGTTCATGGCAAGAGAGCAAAAGCCACGGGCATGCGAGGAAAAAAAATTGCAGGGGTGAGTTTGTCTCGTGAGCAGAAACACATGCCTGTGTTAAGACCATGTATGAGTTTTATTGTGGCTTCAGGTGGATTGTGGTATTTCTAAGCTGAAGACAGGTCGAACTTTTTTGTTGTGTTGTCACACACTTAATGAAAGAGGTCCGAGTAATTGCTGAATTTGTCTCGTCTGCTAGATTGAAGGCAAAATATGTGATTTAAGAAAATATATGAAAGATTAATGATACTATCAGTGTAACTCATTGGTGTTGGCCATAGGTTAAAGCCTGTGTCTTTATTTTAGAAGAGTAAAAATGATCATTATATGAACGGCTGCTTCAACATATCTGACATTTTGATATGATACAAAATGTTTTCTGTTACTTCATAAAATCCATCAAAATACTCAAAGTGGACCTTTTGACTCATGTTATTTTTATTTGTAAAGTGTAACCTAAAAAACCTAATTATTACTTTAAAATTTTGGGCCACAAAATTGTCTGAATCATAATCTTTTTAAACAATAGATCTACCACTGAACTTTGTATTACATTTGATCTTTTTTGTGATCAGGTCATTGAGGCCTCCCAAAAATCAGGCTCAGGGAAAACCAGGACAGGGAGCCAAAGTGGAGTCACAAAAGGAAGCGTCTCTTTAGCTCGTACACCCTCCACCAGCACTCGATCAGCACCAGCAAAATCCTCGTCCAGTCCAGGTATGAGCTGTGAAGTGGGACTTTTTTCTCTTACCCTGCGTAATTTAAGGGCAACTTCAACATTTAAGTGTTGTGTCTTGGTATGAGTGCTTTTAGGCTGTAATTTCTCCTCTCCTTTCGGCCACAGGCTCTAAGGCTACCTCTGCTGGGGAAGTCAGTGTGTATGTGGACCTGGCTTATACCCCCTCTGGAGCCTCCTCTCCCACAGTGAGTGTGGACTTCTTCAAGTGTGTTCGCTCTTCTTGCTACATCATCAGCGGTGACAGCCCGGAGCGGGAGGAACTAATGAGGCAAACCCTGGATGCTCTGCTGGATGGAAAGATATCATGGCCAGACTCTATGCAGGTAGAAACATTATACAGTAGATTATTATGTAAGTGTTTTTTCCCCCAAAATGGGAAATGTAAAATGCAATCACAGAGATCATTTCCATGAAAATTGGGCTGTTACTGAATCCCAAACCACACTCTGTAGATCCCTCCAAATGCTAAAATCATCAGCTATTACTGAATGGTTAAAGGCGGCCTTTTGTATTTCTCCAGGTAACAGTGATCCCTACCTTCGAATCAGTGTCGATGCAGGAGTGGTACCAGCAGACCTTGGACAAACAGCGTGAACTAGGAATCACTGTCCTGGGATCTAACAGCACTGTTGCCATGCAGGATGAAACTTTCCCCGCCTGCAAAATAGAGTTCTGAGACAAACTAGGATCTGCAGCCTGGAGGATGGAAGGTGGACCTGGGCTAAATTAAACTGTGACATTAAGGTAGAGAGCTTGAGGACTGATGGAGTGACAGAATAGGAAGTTAGAAACAAATATTACGGAAAAAAGTGCGACTCTTTCTGCACGTTCACGACTGAGTAGATAATGACATGAGGCTTTTGCCTCACTCCTCCTGGTATAACACTTCCTTTAGGGTGTTGTTGCACCGAGGGGCCCTTAGATCTCTTCTCTCCGGGGTAATGCATGACTTCACTGACCCATGACCCTATGCAAAACAGGAGAGGAGGTCATACTGGCTGCAAGAGAAGCATGTCAGCCTGCATAAATGTAGATTTACATGAAAGCTGATGCTATAGATTACTGAAAATAATGTACACGGGGTTAATGGCACTTTGTGTAGGCTTGCACTGAAACGTGATCGTAGTTTGTGCTGTGTACCTGGGCCCGTTTTGCTGCTTTTAGCATTAACAGCTTTCTAACAACATTTATCCATATTACATGCAACTGGTGAAAGTGTGCAAACTATTAATTATGAAAGCCGTGCATTTGTTGATTTTTCTTTTAATTAGACTTATTTGATCATTTATTTCTCACTGAGAGTCCAACAACAAATATTCATATTGAGTGGTAAAGCATTTTGTTCTGAGCACTGTAAGTACATGTGATGTTTGCTGCGCTTGTGTTTTAACTGCTTTAAAAAAGTATTACGCCACATTGGTGGCAGTGTCATCTGTGCTGAGCAAACAGACTCTCAGAAATACTGAAAATGACAATTACTGACTCTGAGATTACTGAAAATGAGTGTGCAAATCTGCCAGAAGGGATTAGAGTACCAGATTAAATTTAACAGCATTACAGCAATCGTGATATTAATATTAGTCCTGCAATTGTAATCAGTTAAAAATGCTTATGATCATAAGCGTGTGAGGCTCAGACTTGTTAATATGTATTTGGATTGTGGATATGATCACACGGTCTGTTGTAGAGAGGCTTGCCAGAGTGTTAATAAGAATTACTTAACAATCAGATTGTATTTAAACAGTGAAGACATCCCAAAGGTGGAAAGCACCCCCCCCACTCCACCCTAATACTGAACAGTTTTAATAAAGTAGACTACAGTACACAGGGCACTTTGTTTAATACAGTGACATAATTTTTTTCATTTAAAATTTTTATTTCTTGTTCATTTTGAAAATAGTTTTTAAAAAGCCAAAACAAAACAAAGGGAAAATAAAGAACATATTCAATGCATATCTAGATTATAATTATTATAACTGAGACATTAAATCCAATCTGGCTACACGTAAATGCGCAATTTATCACTTTTGAATGTAAATATTTAAATGCAGCTCTACCCTCAAGGAAATTGTTCTTGAAAAAAAAAAGATTCTAAACTAATTAAATCAATTGCACAGACGTTACAAAAGGCCAAAGAAATTGCAAGGAAATGTGTCCAAAGTACCGTCAATGCAGTCTCTCAATAGTAAGTGTTGATTTTTTTATTGCGTCTGCACATCATAAAAACTGGTGTAGTCACAGTGACAGGTCCTTCTTTTACTTGAGCCCAGACTAGATATCCACGAATCCATGGAGGGATGTGTAAGAAATCATCAGTGCTCTCTGTTCCTGTCACATGAATGTGCATGTGGAATGCAGAGTTTGATTAATACCAAAGCAAATGATCATAAAGACACAACGACCCATTTTGCTTTTTAAATCCAAGTTTTTTTTCAATTGTTTAAAGACGCTATAAAAATTAGTCATAAGTTCTTATTATACTTGAGAAAAAATGATTTATTTCTCATCACTCATCCCAATGATGTTACAATGATGTCCAATGCTAATTTATAACAACTCATGACTGCCTTTTTTCTGCAAAATGGCGCCAGTTTGAGGTTTTAAATGATTGACTACTTGAACCTCCAAGTGAATTGTAACTATGTGTATGTGTCCTGCATGTATAAAATATGTACTGTATGTTGTTGTTCATTCATGATATTCATGAAGAAAGAGAGCAAAGCACTGTGGGAGACTGGGCAGAGCAAGGTGTTGTGAGCAATGGGAAAGTGTCACTTTGTAATTGTCTGTAAGAACATACAATAACAATGTCAAATGTGTGGGTTGTAGGGCAGTGAGCAATGTATGAATAAAGAATGTGCATCACCATTCAAAGGTCTGCTGAGAGTTGCCCTGTGGATGTTGAATCCAATTATCATAATCTTACAACACAATAGAACAAATTACCAATTTTTACTTATTGTAGCTACATTTTAAATAAATTTTATATTTCTGGAAATGCTTTGGATGGTGTTACATACTTTGTCAAATTTTGATTAAAAGAGACAAAGAACTGTAATTTAGGATACTACATAACACAAGATCAACCAAAGCATATTATTGCATAGTAACAACCCCTGGATTAAGTCAGTAAATGTAAGGTGTGGTCACTTTTCGTATAGGCAGTCTGTTTCTTATTTCTGCTCATTTTGCTATATGTTACCATAAAAGTCAGTGAGTTTAAAAAAGAAATTGGTTTTCACTGACTTGTCTTTCAGGAACAAAACAGGACAGGGAATCACGACTGAGGTTGTTATTGGGGAAGGGGTAAACCTACAAGGTTGTTTTTTAGAGGAAAAGCAGCCAGCGTCCAAAGGAAAAGGTCTAAAAGTCTTTTGCCTGGAAAACTATTGCTAAAGACCGGTTTAAAAAAATCAACAAGGTGTGGTTCCTTGAAGACAAAGTGTAAAGAGGAGTAACTCAAGACTTTTGCACAATACTGTATGTATGTGTATGCATGTGTCTGAATTTGATAATACTTAAAAAAAATAACCCTCTGAAAATGACTAAAATACACATGAATAAAGGAACAAATACATACTAATTGAATAATTTATTCATAAGGCTTATTATACTGTATATTCCTCATAACTGTATTTCTTTCGGTGTATCATCAAAGACGCTTTTATAGCTTTTAGACTGAACTGCAAAACTCAGTATCACAGAAGAATCATGTTTCATGTCAAGTCTTATTGGTTGCAGTCATTTTTACAGCCTTTACAATGTGACCAATCACAACAGGGACAAAGAAAAAAGGTTTACTTTTACTTTCCTTCCTGTTTGAACCACCACAACCACTGCGGCGTGCCACGGACTGTATTTTTCGTGCATCAGTTTGTCTTCTGAAGGTGAGTTTGGTTTGATAACATCTAACTTCATCCACAGTACGCATATGCAGCAGCATGTCTATGCGCTCACAACTTTCTGCTGCAAGTATGACTTTTATCACTTCAGCGGGTTTCTTGAAGGTGGTTTTACTTTTGGTTTCTGTTTGTCTGAGAAAATGTTTCTTCCATTATATTTCTTGTTTGAGAATCAAACATGAAATGTCAGTGTTGGGGAGTAACGGAATACATGTACCGCCATTACGTATTTAAAATACAAAATATGAGTAACTGTATT